TCTCTCTCTCTCTCTCTCTCTCTCTCTCTCTCTCTCTCTCTCTCTCAAGAAATATGTTCTGTACAACTAGTTACATATTTTATATGTAAAAAGGTGTAGATATTTTGTGTTATTTTTTTCTTTGTAACAGTAAATATCTGTTAAATATTTATATATTGCATATATGTTAAATTGTTAAATATCGCCTAAACTAAAAATAGCAACTAATTTCAGTTAAATTTAACATTATAAATGTGTCAATTCAACATAAAATTTATTTTTAAATTGTGACAAAGTATTATGTTTTTTGTGTTAATTTTATACATAATATTGTGTTACTTTCTAATATATTCATCTTATGTTAAATTAACACAACAATTTGGATGAATCGTTTGGAATATGTGTTAAATTTAACACAAAATTTTTTACTGTGTATCTTTATGTATTTTTAGTTATTGTTTTCAATCACTTAAAATTAAAAAATTATTGCTTTGTCGACGTTTTTATTGATGAGCGAAAATTGATCCTTAAAAAGTTCTTAAATAAAAAGTAACTTAATTTTTTGAAATCTAACATATTTGTATGTAATATCAATCTATTTGTGTCGATTCAGTTGTCTCTATTGGAGGATTTTCGATATCGTCTAATATATCAGGATCGAGTTCTGTCAAAACCTCGTTTCTTACATTATTCTGTTTGTTGACAACAGGATTATTGTATTCCTCTACATTGAAAATATTGTTAGGAGGTATAAGATCTTTGATGCGCATTATATTGTCTTCAACAACAGCCTCATCTTTGAAAAATCTGTGATTTATTTCTTTTACAGGATTTGCATGTATACTATTTTTAGCTTCTGACAATTCCTGCGTTTCTGATTTGGTAGGATACTTTTTATCATTTACAATATTTAAGTAGCGAGGAAGTATATAAGCATTATAGGCATTAATTACAGGTGTACGGGCAGTTTCAGTACTGGTGTACGCTTTGTCTCGAAAGATTAGATCCTCGTTTTGCTCGTCCTGGAAGTATTTATTATTTTCTTCAGAATATAATCCCAATTGTCCGATCTCTTGCGAGTTTTCACGTATAAAATTTAAATCGTCGAATTCTTCATTCACTATTCCTTTCCAAATATTCTGAGGAAATATATGAGGATTAATATTATTTTCAGTTTTAATAGTATTATGTTCAGTCTCGTCTTCAAAATAATCTTTCATATCTTTGTCATTCATGAAGTATTCAGTCTCGTCTTCAAAATATTCTTTCATATCTTTGTCATCTTCCTCATTTTTGAAAGGTTTAGTATTTGCTTTCATCAAAGAATCGAACAATGTTTCATCCTTTCTTGATTTCCATGTATTTATATCCTGAGGAAACTTAGAATTATGAGAATCAGAATTGATTTGTTCATTATCGTCTTTAACTATAATTTCTTGCTTTCTTGCAGGATATAGTTCTAAGAAATTATTCCTAAACTGTCCTAAATTCAAGGATTGTGAATTCTTAGCGATGTCCCAATTATCAAAGAATTTTTTGGTTGATTTTGAGATGTCTGAATCCTTAACATAAGGATCATGCTTACCTTCTGATGGACTAAATTCTACGGGATTGTATCTTTCTGGAGAATACCTAAGCAGGCTGGCAGAATTTGAAGATTCCTTGATTGCATCTTTTTGCTCGTCGAGGATGTCTTCCCGGCGAAGTCGGTAAATATTTTCGATTTCAGAGAAAGATTTCTCTGACTGCATGCCGTTTGAAGAAGCGTCCCCTGGATATTTCCCTGATGACTTTGTATCTCCATCGGCGCGATGCATTAGTACTTTCCTTATAGGATCTTCTTTGTCCTTTTTATAATCTTTTACCCTTTTATAGTCTTTTAACAAGGATTCTGAATATTTATTGTAAGGATTTCTGAAAAACCAATTTTCTTCGAAAATTTGTCTCGATGGAACAACACGAGGATATTCTTTTATAGGTATATCTTGAGAAAATATCTCTTGTCTGTCTGAGGATTGCGGAGAACTATTAAGATAATTCTTGACAAACGAATTTTGGCTAACAGGTTCTTGTTGATGAAATCCTCTGTAGTTTCCGAAAGGCATCAAATTTTTTGTTTTATATAATGAAACATTATCATCGCGTGCTATATTCTGGGAGATATCTTCTCGTAACAAGTGAGAATACGGAGAATTTTGAAGTAAATTTGTAGAGAAATCTTGCAAATTTGATTCTTGATGAGTATTCCTGAAACATGTCGCAAATTTTTTTGCTTATTAGATTTATAATAACATTCCTCAAATTTTAAATATATAGTTATAATTTCAGGATTGGCAACGTTACCTCATAAAAATAACTTGTTACCGTCCTTTTTCCTAAAAAGTAACTCGTTATCGTTACTCGTTATTGATTTGCAAAAGTAACTCGTTACCATTACCGCCACTCAAAATATAACGAGTCGTTTTTTTTTCGTTACTTTTTTCTTGATACTAATATAATATTATATAGCGTTTTTCATTGGCAGAACTTGTGTGCACTCAATGCACATTAAAGCCGTTGTATACAACTCTAATCTAAATGTAAAAATGAGATATCTGAGGGGATAAAATGTCTAAAGTATATTTTATCAAATAACATAATAAAATGTATTGAGGATTTCGTAGTTTAACTCGGTTCTATACTTTTATTAATCATACATCTTTACGTCGATTGTACAGCGGCTTTAAAGTGTAATGAATGCGTATTAGTTCTACCGATGAAAAACGCTATTATATGCAGATTCTTGCGGTAACTATAAAAAAGATGGAAGAATTCTGTTTTTAATAGAGAAAAAAGCTAAAAGATAAATATGTATATACGCTCTAGTTATGATTAAAACTTTTACATAGAAATAAAGATACGATAAAAGATACGATAATAGAAATAAAGTAACGATAAAAGTAACTAGTGAAATCGTTATCATTATTCCAAAACTTTAACTTACGTTTAACTTGCGTTACCATAAACGTTATTCAAAAGAAAATGTAACGTCGTTATTCAAATGTTACCAAAAAAAGTAACTTGTAACGACCGTTACAAGTAATACGTTACTTGCCAACCCTGTAACTTTCTTTTACATTTTAAGATTAAATTCTAAAATGCTGGATTTCTTACGGAGAGAAAATTGAAGTGTTAGCTACAGTCACATATGCTTAATACAGTCACTACCATATCGTATTAATATTGCAAGTATACGATTATGGATAATCCAATTTTCTTAATGCTTAGATCCGTCAATTTAGATTGAGATTCTCAAATTTTTCTAATTTATATAAATTGTCACAATAGCGTAATTGTATCGTATTACTAGTTGGACATGTATAGTATAATCCCACTATATATTAGATATGTATAAATAAATAAATATATATATTTTTTATATATTATGTATATAATAATATATTAATACTATTTTAAATTAGAAGCACATTCTAGCTTGATTGAATTTTTTTATTATGCATGAAAATTTAAGTTGTTAGATTGGAAATTCTTAAATTTAGTAGTTTCTAATTTGTATATATTTTGATTTAAGGAGATCGACAAGAGTGACTATGAAGATCTCTGTTAGAAACAATTTCTTTATGCTAAAATTACGGCTATAAAATATCGAGAAAATGTAACTTTGAAATTAAGAAAGTCGCTTAAAGGCTTACATGGCTTATATAGTATTTTTGTTAAAAAAAAAAACAGTTAAAATAAAAATTCATTTTGATATCTCACACACTTGGTCTGCACTATAAATGTAGTTATTGAGATGCAGATAATTTTATTTTATTAATGTTTTGAGAACTAAATTGCAAAATCCGGCTCTATACACGCTTTCGTAAGTTTTATAAAAAGAGAAGTTGAAAAGGTCTCATGACATCAATGTTACTTCTAGGAGAGAAAATATCAGTATGAAGACGTGTATCTGCACTATGCAAGGAGCAGATTATTTTATTATTTAATACTTTTAAGAACAAAATTGCAAAATCCTGTTCTTAGTAGGCTTCGTAACTCATAAAACATACCTAAGTAAAAAAGAGTTTTATGACAAAATATTATTTATTCTATGCTATAATATATGACATAGTGCAGACATGCGTAACAAATTGATGTTATTTGTCATTTTAACATCAAAATAACATCAGCTTATTATCTGGAGATGTATAATACATATTATGTATCTATACTACAAAAGGCTTACTACGTAAACGTCTATATTACAAAACTTACTACGTAAGTTGGCTCTTGTTGACCCTTAAATTATATTCTTACCATGGTAATTGAACGGTCAAGGCTTCTGGGCAATCTAGACTACATGAAGGGCAGGATGCTTCTCTAGGAATCCTTCGAAACGATCCGCAAGCTAGGATTACGCTCACAGACAAATAAAATAACAAATAGCGACAAGAAATTTGTCTCGACATACTTAAAAGATTCGAATAAAGAAACCCTGACGATTCTTTATAAGCTCGCATGTTAGGGATGCAGCGAGGACACACGATGCTGAGTACAAAAATGTTTTCCATGTTGCATCAATCGCTTCCTGTATACATCCGTTAATTTTTAAGTGAATTGTTTGTTTATGTCTTTTTCAATTTCTTAGTATTCACTTCCTTATTTTTTCATCTTTAGGCAAGATAGAGGTGACGACATAATATCGCAGAAGTCTTTGGATGTAGTAAAAATACTTATACATTTTTTAAAAGAGCGTAAGTGTCTATTTCAAAATGTTTTCTCTTTTGTAAACTATTGAATTTTGACATTAAAATTCATTTTATAAAAATGAGTTTTTACATATAAGAAATTCGACATTATTGTGAAAAATCATGGTATTATTTTTTTTAAATGATTATTTTAAGCTTAGAAAGTCTATCCCAGTAAC